GCAGTAGTAGTAGTAAATATTGGAGGCAGTAGTAGGTAGTATTAGTCGTAGTAGTAGTAGTAGTAGTAGTAAAGTAGTAGAAGAAACGAAATAAGAACAATAAGCCGCATAATACAAACTACTAAATCACACGTAATTAGAGTCTAAGTGGTAGGTAGTAGTCGTAGTATAGTATCGTAGTAGTAGTAGTAGTAGTAGTAGTAGTAGTCGTAGTAGTCGTAGTAGTAGTAGTAGCAGTAGGAGTAGGAGTAGGAGTATTAGTAGTATTAGTAGTATTAGTAGTAGCAGTAGTAGTAGTAGTAGTAGTAGTAGTGGTAGTAGTAGTAGTAGTAGTCGTAGTAGTAGTAGTAGTAGTAGCAGTAGGAGTAGGAGTAGGAGTATTAGTAGTATTAGTAGTAGTATTAGTAGTAGTAGTAGTCGTAGTAGTAGTAGTAGTAGTAGTAGTAGTAGTAGTAGTAGTAGTAGTAGTAGTAGTAGTAGTAGTAGTAGTAGTAGTAGTAGTAGTAGTAGTAGTAGTCGTAGTAGTAGTAGTAGTAGTAGTAGTAGTAGTAGTAGTAGTAGTAGTAGTAGTAGTAGTAGTAGTAGTAGTAGTAGTAGTAGTAGTAGTAGTAGTAGTAGTAGTAGTAGTAGTAGTAGTAGTAGTAGTAGTAGTAGTAGTAGTAGTAGTAGTAGTAGTAGTAGTAGTAGTAGTAGTAGTAGTAGTAGTAGTAGTAGTAGTAGGGTTGACCTTACGCTGTTTGCCCCAAGGAGGTTTGGGGTTCCCGTAGAGTTCCTGGGGATTGCTGAAGATCTTGGGGCTCCCCTCAGGTTCCTGAAGATCTGACGACTCTTTAGGAATCCCACCAGCCCTCTGGGCGTCCACCCGTCCGTCTTCCCCCCTCCCCTGGACTTGGACAGGGGGTTCCGCGAGGTGCCGGAGCGTCCAAAACGGCCTCGGCGAGGAAGCCAAAAGCATTGGTTTTATTCGGGTTTTGGCCCCATTGTGGCCTCCTGAGGCGGGGACGCTAAGTAGTAACCCCCCCTCCTGTGATCGATCTCGCCCAAGATTGCTCCGAGAAGCGCCCAGGAGGCCCCAAGAGGTGGCCAGGAAGCCCCAAAAGGCCCCCAGGATGCCCCCAAGAGGCCCCCAAGAGACCCCGAAGAGACCCCGAAGAGGCCCCAAGAGACCCCCCAAAGGCACCCAAGATGCTCCAAGAGGCCTCGGCGTGAATGCCAAACCATTGATTTTACAAAGGTTTTAGCCACATGTCGGCCTCTTGGGGGGGAGCACTGATTAAGATGACTCCACGAGCGCCTGGGAAAGCCCAAGATGACCTCCAAGATGGCTCACGATATACCAAAATGTCTCATAATGGCTTCCTCTGTGTGCTGCCCACTTCCCTGATCGAGGCCATTCCTCAGGGCATCGTTTCTGGATGGGCTGGTGGGGATTCGCGAAGCGTCAACACTTTCTCAGTAACAGCGGCTTTCCTACGGCCCTTCGAGGATCCGAAGATTCCTTTGGGGTTCTGTCTGGGTTCTGGGGGATCAAGGGATTCCCTCGGGATTCCTTCTGGTTCCCTGGGGGTTCTTGGGGGTCCGACGGTTCCACTGGGATTCCTAAGGATTCCACGCCGTTTTGTTTTTTTTGTTTTTGTTTATATAGATATGTATATATATATATATATATATATATATATCAAGCGTATGGTAAGCGTACGAATTGGCATGGCAATCGTACGGGCTTCACATGATCATATCATGACTTCGCGTAGTATCGAATTTGTTTTTTGATAATCGTATGGCGATCATGGTTGTCTTGTGATTTCTAATGGCAATCGTATGGTTCGGCTTTCGTCGGGTAATCGCATGGTTTCCTTGTGTTTTTCGTTCGTAATGGTTTTCTGATGGTAATCGTATGGCTTGCACGGTTTTCTTAAGGTAACCGGAAGGTTTCTTATGGTCGTCGTATGGTTTTCGTTTGATATGCGTATGGTTTCTCTATGGTGATAGTATGGTTTTCTTGTGGTAGTCGTATGGTTATCTCTTGGTAATCGTATTGTTGTATTATGGTAGTCGTATTGTTGTCTTATGGTATTCGTATGGTCTTCTAATGGTAATCGTATGTTTTTTTTGTGGTAACCGCATCGCGTGCTTATGGTTATCGCGTGGTCGTCGTATGGTAACCGTCTGGTTTTCTTATGGTACTGGGATGGTTGTTTTATGGTAGCCGAATGATTTTGCTATGGTAATCGAATGATTTTCCTATTGTAAGCGTATCGTTGACTTATGATCGTCGCACGTCTTTGTGGTAGTCGCATTGTTTATTATTACTTCAAAGGTATGGTTTTCGTGTGGCAATGGTCTGTCTTATGGTAGGGGCATGGTTTTTTTGAGGTAGTGGTACAGCTCCTGTTAGGGGTATGGCTTTCTCGTGGTACTGGTACGGTTTCCTTTTGGTAATGGTATGGTTTCCCCATGTTCATCGATGGGTGTCTTATGGTGGTGGTGTTCTTCCCAACCCTCCTTGGTTGGGTGTTCGTTTTGACTAGAGCAGTGTGGTCTCCACTCCTTCCTTCCTTCCCGCCTCCCTTTTGCCTCCTCCTGTCTTGCCTGCTGGCGGCTGCGATCTGTGAAACTGCCGCCACTTTCGAGGCCTGCTGGGGGGCCCAGCACAGTGACGCCACACGCAGATTCAAATTAGACCTCGCCATCCCTGGGGGGCTGCGATCTGTGAAACTGTCGCCACTTTTGAGGCCTGCTGGGGGGCCCAGCACAGTGACGCCACACGCAGAT